CACGCCACAATCCCTTCTCCTCCATTCTCCTCTCGGGATCTTGGGCACGCACGCACATGCGCCCGGCGTGAGTTTTAAGCCACTGGGTCCGGGACACGAACTGCGGAAGACTACATGGGAGTCCAGCGACATAGCCATTACGCTAACTGCTGGTTCCCTCCATTCTCTTCTTGAGATCTTGGGCACACACACACACATGCCTGGTGTGAGTTTAAGCCACCGGGTCCGGGATTTGAACCACGGTTGACTACATGGGAGTTCAGCGACATAGACATTATGCCAACTGCTGGTCCCAATTTTATTATTACTAGTACTTTTTAAGTTTGGTATAGGGCACGTGTGCTCACCAGAGAGAGAGGAAAAGAAAGTGAGAAAGAAAGCTACCAGGTCCAGGACTTGAACTAATGTCAGCCATGTGGGAATCCAGCACCTTATCCACCATGTCACCTGCTGGCCCCTACTTTGCATATTTAGAACTGCAATCTATCATCTCAGATTTCTTTTTTTTTTTTTTAATTGTTAAAGGGTGTGTGTACTGAGAAAGAGAGGGTGTGCACCCTCCATTGTGGCATGGTCATACCGTAATCCTTTTTCCTGCATTTGTCTATCCAGTTAAGATTTGGGGCACGTATGCACGCGCACACACATACACATACACATGCCTCTCCTCGTTGGTGTCTTTCAAGCCACCTGAGTGGGGATTTCTCTAGTGTTAGTTGTCTTATGTACCAGGCTAAAAGGCACCTCAAATTATACCATCTCAAATGCAGAACTTTTGATTTTTGTCTCCCCAAGAAGCTATTCCTTTTCTAGTGTTAATTAGTAGTACTAATTAAACAGGTGTTTGTACAAACCCAGAAGTACCCTGGGTTCCTCTGTGTCCTTTACTGCTGCCACCCCAACCCCACGCTGTCAGTCAACATTCACAGGAGTCTCATCAGTTTCCTGCTGTGGTTTGTTGTCCTAAGTTCACAGCTCTTTGTCCCCCGTTGGCCTCCTGCTGCGCTCACTGCCTTCACTGCTCCAGATAATAGAAAGAAGATTGCTTTATTGTCTCTGTTTTTGTTTCCATAGAGCATGTACACTCACTGGAGAGAGCCAGGGAGTAGGAAAGTGAGAGATCATCCTTTGGGGGGGGATGGCCATACCACAATACTTTCTCCTCTCTCCTCCATTCTTCTCTTGGGATTTTGGACACACATGCATACACACCTGGCCTGATTTTCTAGCTGCTGGGTCTGGGACTCAATGATTAGCCACGTAGAAATCCAGCACCTTTACTACCATGCCACTGGCCCCACAAGAAGAGTTTTTAAAATCCTAATTGAAATAGCTGTTTAAACTCTCCTAAAGCACAGGTCTCTGGCCTACTTCTGCCTGCTTTCCTGCCCCAGGCCCTGCCCTCTCCAGCACCCTCAAGACCTGACTCACCATGCCCCTGTCATCAGACACTCAAGGGTCTTTCCTATATCAGAGTCTTTGTACTTGTTCTTCTCACTGCTGGAAGGTACTTCCTCTGATCTTCCCATTGCTTTTTCCTTCCATTCTTTTTCTTTGCTTTTTTTTGTCATAGTGTATGTACACTTGCCAGAGAGAGACAGAGAAACATTGAGAGGGAACGTGAGAAATTATCACCCAAGGGGACAACCACACTACAGTCCGTTCTCCTCCTGGGATTTTGGGCACATAGGCACACGTGCCCAGCAATATTTTCAAGCCACCAGGTCTGGAGCTTGAATTGTGGTCAACCGTGTGGTAGTCCAGTGCCTTAACCACCACACCACTTACTGG